AAATATGATAAAATGTTCACATTTGCAGTTTCTGGGTATATGGGTGTTATATTATTCTTTTCTCTTCTTTCATATTTACAAAAAGAGTAAGTAAATCACTATGATGTAAATTTGCTGATACATTCTTCTTTGTAAAATGTTAACAATTTTCCTATAACTCCCTTAGGAACAGTAAGCCATGAGAGAACTATGACTCAAGTTCTTGAAGGGGTGCATATGTTTGAGGGGGTTCCTGAACCCACTAATTGGCCCCTCAGTGGTATGCCATTACTTAGATATCCAGTTCCATCTTAACAGGCTTATCGAATCTTTCTAGGGCAGAGTAACTGCAGTGTTAAGTCAGGCTCTGAGGAAGGCTTTTGTACCTGAAGGAAATCCTATAGGGTAGATTACAACAGACTTCCATTAAAAGCCTCTCCCATTTACTGGGTGAAGAGGAGGGTAAGGGGTGGTGCCCATTCCCCGTTATAGAAGGTTAGGCCAATTTATGACGTAGTGGCAAGGGATAATTTTTCATGATTCATCACCCTAGTCATTGTCTATCACAAGGTTTCCCCAAGTATGTTATCAAGAGCACTAACTCTGTGGCAAGCCCACAGAAATTGAAACAAAACCAAAACAAAACCAAAAACTAAAAGATTCTATAGTCAAATATGTTTAGGAAATATTAAACAAGTATAAATAGCTTTCTTTATCTCATCCAAGACAGGATATAGTAGGATTCTTTTCCAAATTCATTTGTGTTTTAGAAATGTATCTGATCACAACAGTATCTTTTCACTCTTTTGAGAAACACGTTCTAACAAGATTATCTCTGATTCTTAAAATCCTTGAGCAGCCAGAGAGCAAGCTGATCTTTCTAAAAGTCATGCTGATAACTGGAGGCAAGCTCTCCTTACTGCCCAATTCAAGGCTCTCAAAGGCTGCTCTGTTATCTCCAATTCCTGGCTGTTTCTGGATGCTAAAATAGAAAAAACATGCCTCATATTTCTTTCTTCTCCTCTCTTTCTTGAAAAAATTAGAGACAGCTTATATAACCTTGGCCTTCCCCTGAGTATATTGCTGGGATATTCAAAAGCACTCCTCAGTACCTTGTGAGTGGCTTTGTAGCAGCATTTCACATTTTAGACAAACGGGGTTCCTTACTCTTTCTCTAAATCAACTCCTATTTTCTCACTGATTTACATGACAGTTTCAGATGGACCGTTAGTATGTACTTGTTCCTAACAAATTAGTCTTAAGCTTCACTGCCAGCTCCCTTCTTTCCCCCAGTCTTCTCTGCCAGGTACTTACAAATGTATAAACAAACACTTAAAAACATGAAAGACAACCCAATAGGACTCCTTTAGGAATCTTTTTATAAGCTGAAGAGTCCTTTCAAAATGTGAGTGATTCCTCAATAGACCAGACTAGAAAGTCCAGAAGTAAACCCAAATACATATAGGAATTTAGTATTCACTAAAGGTGGTATTTAAATCCACGCAGAAGAGGTAGTTGAATAAATGGTGTTGAGAGAACTAGGTAGAAATTCAGAAAAAAAGTAAGGTTGAATCTACAACTCACACCTGACCCAAAATAAATTCCAGGTGGATCAAAGTTTTAACATGAAAAAGACTAAAAAAAAGCATTCCTGTGGCTTGTTACTTGAGCTGACATAATACATGCTAAGCAATGTCCTTGTAAGTGACAGGTCACAATGAAAATTGTGAAAACTTTGGTAGGGAAAGCAGCATCCAACTCTTCCAGAGGCTGGGAAATGGTTAGGCAGAAGAGAGAAAAACGAAAGAATGTTTGCTATTTACATTTTGTCATGACAATAAGAAGCTATTATGTTAATCATGTAATCTAATCGAGTGTGGCATATTTGGGAGACAGTGGGAGCCCTGATGCAGACTAAAGGGAGAGATGTTTGGATATGTCAAGTGGGACCAGATTGCAGAGGTCTTTGAACGCCTAGATGAAGAGTTTACTCTTGGTTCTCTTCTTACTGGGGGCTCCCTGGGGGTTTATGAGCTAGGGGGCAGGCTTTCTCAACCGCGGCACTACTGACATTTTCGGCCAGATAGTTCTTTGCTATGGGGGACTGGCCCTGTGTATCATGGGATGTTTAGCAGCATCCCTGGCCTCTACCTACTAGTTGCCAGCAGCACCTTTCCCTTTTCAAATTGGGATAACCAAAAATGTCCCCAGATATTGCCAAATATCTTCTGGGGAACAAAATTATCACTGATTGAGAACCACTGAGCTCTAGAATGGCAGAATAATTGGTGTGTAAGAAGAACTGTCCAGCTGTGGTTGTGTAGAATGAACAGGAGGTCGGCAGGAGAGGAGCCTGAGAGAATGTATTAGAGGCTGTTCAGGACCATTTTTGTGATCTATTGTTACAGTAAGGCCTCCAATAAAGTACATCTCCCTGTATCCATGACCTTGTATAGTCCCCTCCCACACTGACTTAGGGCTTGGCCATGAAACTTGCTTTGAACAATGGAATATCAGCAAATATGACCCAAGGGGAGGCTTGAAAAGCAATTGTGCACTGGGACTGACTGACCTTCTTGGAACACTGCCACCATGTGACAAAGCTGGTGCTAGCCTCCTGAAGACACATGGTCCAGCAAAGACTAGTACCAACTTCCAGACATATGAGTGAGGCCCTCTAAGACCATGCAGCCATAATTAAGCCCCCACAACTACATGATCCCAGGCAAGCCAGCAGAAAACCCGCCCACCTGAGCCCTGCCCAAGCTGATGACAATAAAATTATGAACAAACAAAATGGTTGCCGGTTTAAATCACTGTTTGTTGTGTTGTTATGCAATGATAGATAACTGTAATAGTAGGTCTGGAGTAGATTAATATCAGTGGAAATGAGAAGATGTGTACAGGAGACATTTGGAATAATCCATGCTTCTTGATGACTCTTTAGGGAAGGGGCTCAGGGAATGGGCAAAGCAGGTCAAAGAATATAAGAATTTAGAAATGAGTGCAAAGATCAGAGTGAATTCCGGAAATGAAGTTGCACAAGAAAGTACTTCCTAAGAAGTCAAAAATATGATTAACTCATCTATTTTGAAAAATACAGATATTTATTAATTGCTAACAGTATAGTGACAATAATATTTCAAAGATTCAGTTTAATAAGTATATTTGTAAAGCTTTAAAGGCATTACCAAGCTAGCCACTTTGTACTTTATATGAAAAATCAATCTTTAGAATAAACAGGAAAGCAGAAAAACTCAAAATCAATAACATTTTTTATTGCATTAATGATAAAATTCATTTCAGTGTATTAGCTGTCCACTTGCATAGACCTATATTCACTTAGCAATTAGATTGCTAAGATCAGGGCTCCTAAGGGAATGCCTCTCATAATATACCAGTTAAATCTACAGACGCCGATTATCAGCGGTATTTACAGCTTGACAGATGTTGTGAGTGTTGAGGGTGTGTATTGCATTATTCAAGGAGAAACAGTTCCTCAGATGTTTAGTGCTTAGCTCTATGTTTAAGAACTCTAGCCTGAGGGAAGGTGTCAGTCAAAGCCCCTACTTCATTCTTATCATATTAAAAAAATCAGGGGCTGGCCCCGTGGCTTAGCGGTTAAGTGCGGGCGCTCCGCTGCTGGCGGCCCGGGTTCGGATCCCCGGCGAGCACCGACACACCGCTTCTCCGGCCATGCTGAGGCCGCGTCCCACATACAGCAACTAGAATGGATGTGCAACTACGACATACAACTATCTACTGGGGCTTTGGGGGAAAAATAAATAAATAAAATCTTTAAAAAAAAAAAAAATCAAAGTAATAAGAAATCAAGAGAATCCAGAAGGAGATAAAACGTAAATACAGAGTCACAACTAAAAGAAATGGCAGTAAATAAAAGAAAGTCTAAAAAGTGGAGGGAAGGGATAATGTGAATAAAGCAAAAATAACCCAAACGCATTTTCATAGGCTATGAGAATCACAGAGGGGAACATACACATGTCTTATGACAGAGTGAGGGTCTCTTGGAAATGGAAGGACAAGATTTTTAAAAAAGGATCAAAATGGGTGAATTTTAAAAATCTTGTACCCATTAAGCAGCCAGTATTAAAACAACAATAGCATTGTTGAAATAAGTGTTAAAGATCAAAAGGTAACATACATTTGGATATATAATTTCCATAAGACGTGTTCGAAGAAGAAAAAAAGCTACCCCAGTCTTGGTTCAAATATTGCTGTCTGCCGAAGATTTTGGTTATTACTTTTCTCTCAGGTTGAAGAGACAAGGACTGAGAAAAATTAATTGGATGTGGGGATCTGGAAGATCTATGTGATTTCTAATGTGTCTTAACTAGCTGGACATGTGTTAAGGAAAGCCAGTAAAATCAGAGAATGGGGTCTTCTGGTAAATTTCGTACTTTGGTTTGTAATAATATTTGTATATACAGAAGTTTACAAATTTTCTGGAATTAGAAGAGAAGAAAATATACACAACGTTAACCAATTTGGAATCCTACCCCTACCTTCCTTTTGTTTTTCTATCCACTTAGCTTCCCACGCTCATGCCAGCTCTTGGCTTTACCCGAGCAAACTGTTTACGCCGAAGGGCCTGGCAAACGCTCGTGCGGCACCCCCAGTTCCGGCCGAGTCCCCGACTCGAAGACCCCAAACCCAGGCTCGGGCCAGAGCCCTGCAGGGGAAGCACAGCCGGACCCCCAGAGGCGCGGGAACCAGAGTCGCGAGCTCCTCCTCCGGGGCTGGGCGGAGCCGGGCCGGCCGGGAAAGTGGCGAGGGCCGGCGTGCCGGGCGCTCAGTTTCGGGAGGACGGGCGCTGCTGCGCGGTGCGCGGAGTCGGGGCGCACTCACCCGCTCCCGGGCCGGTGGGGGGGCCGCCAGGGGTCCGCGCAGGACCAGCTTCGGGGGGCGCCGCCCCCGACCCGCCCAGGCGCCCGGCCCCTCCCGGACATTCCCGCAAGTGGTCGAACCAGCCAGACTAGCCGAACTCGCCGCAGCTCCCGGCGACAGCAGGTGGCTCCGGACTTCCCGCAGTCGCCGCAGCCGGGACGGGCAGCGCGCCCCGTCGTGCGCCGCAGTCCTCTGGGCCGCTCCCGCCGGGCGGGATGGAGGCGGACGGGGACCGAGGGGAGCTGGCCCGGCTGCGCTCGCTCTTCGCTGCCTGCGACGCGAACCGCTCGGGGCGCCTGGAGCGCGAGGAGTTCGGCGCGCTGTGCGCGGAGCTGCGCGTGCGGCCGGCCGACGCCGAGGCCGTGTTCCAGCGGCTCGACGCCGACCGCGACGGCACCATCACCTTCCAGGAGTTCGCGCGCGGCTTCCGCGGGGCCCTCCGCGGGGGGCGGCGCGGGGGCTGGGGGCCGCGGGATCTCGCGCCCGCAGCGGCCCAGGCGGGGCCCGACCCCGCGCACGGCGAGGAGGACGAGGGCGACGAGGACGCGGCGGCGGCGCTGGCCGCCCCCTGGGGCCCGGCGAGCCCTGGCCTGGCTTGGCAGGACTTCCAGGCGCGACTCGGGGACGAGGCCAAGTTCATCCCCAGGTGCGTGTGTGGGTTGGAGGGCGAGAGGTGGTGATGGTGTTTCCTGCCCTCCCTGGGGCGCTGCAGTCTCTCCCTCTTGCACTGTGGAGTGTGCAGACCCACTGGACCCTGCGCTTCTCTGTGAGTTGCTTTTCCCCATTCACTGACTCACTTTAACTTTTCCAAGACGAGATCCCCTAGAGTTAAGAAAAGGGATTGCGTTCAGAGTCAGGGTTTGGGGAGAAAGTTTCGCTTGCTCATTTCTGAGTCCTGCCAGGGGCACTTTTGTTAATTACACCGGCCACAGTGAAATCCGCAGTGTCCGGAGAGTCTTCCCGGACACCGGTTTAGGAGCGCTCCCCACATCTCAAGGTGGCCTGGTTACTTCACCTACTCAAGGCCTGCAGGCTGCTCTCCAGAGCGGCGACCCAGAGCGGTGACCGGGCCGTTTGCCAGTTTGGCATCCTCTATAGTAATTTTTGCGTGTGTTTTCCTACGACTAAGGAGATAAAAAGAGACATTGTTGGGCATTCATATTGCTGGACACATACACGTATTCATTGATGCCTGCTCTGTTTTACAGAGTTCATTCGTTTAATTTTCAGAATAACCTTGGGAGGTAGACTGTTTTATGTTGGATTGATGGAGAAACAGACCCAGAAATTTAGACCTAAGGACGTTAAGGGACTTGCCCAGTTAATGAAAGAGCAGGGATTTGATCCCAGATGTTGTGAACCGAAAAACTCTCGCTTTTTATATAACAGAATAAAATGATAAAATCATACAATAAATTCTCTATTCCTATGACTTTGACAAAATAACATAATATCAAGTTACTGACTTAATTCCCAGGGGGAAAAAGGATGCCTGCAGGTTCAGGGCATGTAGGGAAAGTTACTCAGGTTTTGCTCTTGGAGATTAATTAGCGTCTCTCCATGCCCTGGTGTCATGGTATGTCTCCAGCTGCTGCTTCCCTTCCCCCTCCGGCACTTACAAACCTGTTATTGCTGTGAAATGTTTTTCTGCTCTCTGTTTGGATTTCAGTTGAAGTTTTACAGAGCTCTGGCTGTCATTGTTAAGAGGATTTGAAAGGCCTCATTTTGGTTGGCAGTTCACATATCTGAGACGTAAGACTCAGAAAAGGAAATGGCCCTGGAGGCGTCAGTGGCCTGGCTCACCCATTCACAGCTTACACCTGCAGGGCTGGGAGTCCTCACTTCCTCCTCCGCCCAGCTCCTCCCTCCAGTCTGGAAAGTGTGGGGAACACTGGGCATGGAGAGTGACTCACTGCTGTTTAAGAGGGATTGTGTCTCACTGCTGTTTAAGAGGGATTGTGTAGAGAAAGTGGGTGTGATACTCATCTTTTCTAGTGTTTACAAATGAGTTAAAATGCAGTCTCCACCAGGAAAGTAGAAACATTTAAACATTGCTATATACTAAACTCTTTGGATCATCTTTTGTCTGTAACTTGGTTTGGGTCCAGCTAATTAAAAAAGGTAACAATTTTAGGAATAAGGAAAGGTGAGCCCACACCATATTTTATACACACACGCACACATACGCGCACACTCCTTCACAGTTGTCAAGTCTCAGCAGCAAATATTTGACATTTAACCTTTAAGGATTAAAACGACCTTCTTAGGATCAGCATACAAACCACGATTTAATATTATTGGTGACAATGCTATTATCGAGATACCTTTCCAGACTCTTCACAGGTTATTAAATTTAATGGCACTGGTGTCACCTGGTAGACCTGTGCTCTAAGCCCCACCTCCTTCTGATGTGGGATTAATAAGTACAATATTTGCCTTCCTTTACTTGTTTGAGTGGAAAAGAACTAAACTGAGTTGCTTCATCTGATCGTTACCGTGGCAGCCATTAACTGTTTTGGTAAATTGGATCGCTTCTGTTCCACTTCCTCATTCAGCTGTTCACCTTCTCTTCCTCTCTTCCAGAAGTGACAAAACTCTTTTGTTATTGATAATGCTGTTACTATTATTTCAGCCAAATTAATTCTGCAGACATTATTGAGTGCCTGTTTTGTGCCAGACACAGACTTAGGTACTGTCCTAGGTCCCTGGGGACAAAGAGAAGGATGAGATGTAGTTCATGCCCTTAAGAAGTTTGAAGTGTGGGTGGAAAAGTTTTCAAAAATTTCCTCAAAGAACAGTTAAAGGCGAGAGGGTTATTTGCAGGAAACTCCATATATTGTGAACATAGCCCATCAGATTGCTGCAAGCAGGAGCTTTCTTTGAAGTCTTGAGTTTTATCTTTTTTTTTTTTGTGAGGAAGATCAGTCCTGAGATAACATCTGTGCCAATCCTCCTCTTTTTGCTGAGGAAGACTGGCCCTGAGCTAACATCCATGCCCATCTTCCTCCACTTTATATGGGATGCCGCCACAGCATGGCCTGACAAGCGGTGTGTTGGTGCGCGCCTGGGATCCGAACCCAGGCCGCCAGCAGCAGAGTGCGCGCACTTAACCGCTACGCCACAGGGCCGGCCCCTTGAGTTTTATCTTTAAAAAAATCATTTATTTGTCCATTTTACTCCATAACATATTGGGGCTTGTTTTAATATAAAATATTATATTTTCTTTTAATGGGAAAACTTTTTCTCTGGGAAGATGTGCCATTTCAACTGGTGGCTTTCTTTTCCACCTGGCCCTCCATCTTACCTCTAGTGGCATCCTGTCCCATGCCTATCCCAGAGGGTATACATGTCCTATAATATAATAATGCAAATAGTGAAAATAATGAATAATGCAAATAATGAAAATGGTCTCTGGGATGTGTGTCAACACATTCTTAAGTTGGTTTTCTCTTAGAAAACTGAGGGGCTCCTTCCTTTAAAGGCTGGGGAGGGGACTGTCCTGAGCAGTTGTGTGACTGTTAACCTGAGCTGGGCAGGTGCGAATATTCTACAGGGTCAGGATGGGTCGTTACCACTTCCTAGAAGCTGGAACGAGGTCAGCCAGCAGGTGAAACCAGAATGGGCAAGGTGATGTGGTTATGTAAGAGAATTCAGGAAGGAAGATTGTACCGGGCCAAGAAAAGTCCACCAAGTGGGGAGAGAATGTTGGGGGAGAGAATGTTGGGGGAGAGACAGAGATCAGCTTTGTAATAGCCTAGCCTAGCCAATTTCTGGTGCCAGGGGTGTTACCTTGGTGAAAGGGAGCTTTGTACCCAGTAGGCACTCAATAAAGGTATGCAATAAATGTTTGCTGAGTGAATCGAATAAGCCTGTGTTCTTCCACTCTTTGGTTCATATACTGAGAGTATGGTTAGTTCATGCTGTGTGCGTTTTTATCGTCTCTTTTGCAGATTCCCTCCCTCCCTATTTTTTTAAGTTCCTGGTTGTGGTGTTGGGAGATTGGCAAGGACAGAAGGAAATAGGGTGTGCGTGTGCCTTGAGTATTCGACCGGGCAGGGGGATGGCGAGACTCATCTGTCTCCTCTCGTCAGAGCTGAGGCTTTTCAGAGTTTTCTCAGCTCCATTTGTGGCGATTTTTGAGTGTCATTTGTGAATTGATTCACCTTGATAAATTAACTTAGAACTCCACATTCTCACAGAGAGAAACGTGAGGATCCAGCTGGCACGGGAATCACAATGAATTTGTGGATGGGCACAGGTTCCTCACTGTAGCTGGATCAGGGATGGACCCAGGGTGGGTGCCTGTGATGAACAGGTGTTTCTGTGATTGGTGACCTGCCAGACAGGGCTGGGGTGGCGTTAAGTCAGACACCAAAATCGGTCCTGTTCAGTCAGCTGTTTCACATGGTTTGTGACCGTTCTACAAGGTTGAAGGGAAGTCTTTTATTCAATAATTTGGAAACAGGAAATTAAGCAGAGAAGGACCCAAACTACCCATGTGTGAATTGTATATGGATTGTTGAAACAGTTGCCTTCAGCATGTCCACGTGACTATGCTGAGGACTACTAAACTAGAGAGGGAAAGATCGACGGTTGAACACCACCCCACTCAACTAGGACACTCTTAAAAACATGTAGCTACACGCTGGCAGAGGCGTAGCTTCAGGTCTGGTGACGGTTTCTTTTCCACGTCCCCTCCTTGGGTTCCACGTTAGCCCTTTTCAGTCTGTCTTCTTTCATGATGGCGCGGTTGCTTCGGAAGCCCACTTCACTCACATGATAGGGTGCTCAGAAAGATGGGAAGGGGAGGGGGAGATAGAGGCCGAGAAAGAGGTAAACAGAGAGAGGCCTAGAGACGTGGAGTGAGAGGACCTGAGAGACGGGGATCTCATCTACAGCTAGATGGAGAGACACTGATTGATTGATTTGATAGTGCCTCAGTTTCCCCTCTTCCCACTCAATGAGTTTACAACCCTGAGCCAGCTTGAGAGGGGAGAGGCAAATCAGCTCTGCTCTGTTGGATCTCAACTCTTGAGTATCTTCAAAGTGTGAGCATCTTGGTGCTTTGGACTGTGTTTGTAGTGTTTGAAGATAAATACATTCTTTTTTCACTCAAATGGCCAGTAATATGTGGTGCTCATCCAAGGAGATGAAGACTTGTTCTAGCCTTGAGGCGCCATAGTGAGTTGGACCCAGTCCTGGAAGAGGTTCAAGAGTGTTTTGACTGTGTGTGATATTTACCTTCGCACTGGCTTTGGGACCCGTCTGTGCACTAGCCATGGGCTTTCCGGAGATTTTCTGCCTTGTCTGGAGTCAGAACTGGGGTCTGTGTATCTATCTCTTTATTTTCTCACTGTTGCTGGTCTGTTGCTTTTGTTTTTTTCTCTTTAATGTATCCCTGTCATGATTACATGTGTCATTACCCTGCTGCTGAGTGGGAGAAACCTGTCTGTTAAGAAAACCACATTTTACCTTGAACCTTCTAAGCCTTGCCCCTGGGCCTGGCAGGAGTCCATGCATGGCTTAGTTTTATGGACTCTACTTGCTGGTGGGGTCCCCTTCTGGTTCTGATATTTGAATTTCATCTCAGGGTAGTAATTTCTTTTTGGCCTTCTGGCCCTAGGAAGGTATCCTGGCTTTCCTGTC